GAAGGAGGAGAAGGAGGAGGAGGAGGAGGAGGACGAGGAGGGGGAAGTTGAGGAGGATGAAGAGGAGGAGGAAGAGTTGGCGGCGGAGGAGGAGGAGGAGGAGGAGGAGGAGGAGGAGGGGAGGAGGGGGGGGAGCCGGAGGAGAAGGAGGGGGAGGAGGAGGAGGAGGAGGTGGACGGGGGGGGAGGAGGAGAATGAGGAGGAAGAGGAGGAGGAGGAAGACGAGGAGGAGGAGGAGGAGGAATAAGAGGAGGATAAGGAGAACGAGGAAGAGAAGGAGCATGATATACCGATACCGTTGATGGTGATGATGATGATGATGATGATGATGATGATGATGATGATGATGATGATGATGATGATGATGATGATGATGATGATGCGCATGATGCTGATGATGCCGCTGATGATGCTGATGGTGTTGATGATGATGCTGATGCTGATGGGGATGTTGAGGATGATGGTGATGATGCTGACGATGATGATGATGATGATGATGATGCTGATGATGATGATGATGATGATGCTGACGATGATGATGATGATGATGATGATGATGATGATGCTGACGATGATGATGCTGATTTAGATGATGATACTGGTGATGCGGCTGATGATGATGCTGATGATGCTGATGTTGCTGAGGATGCTGATGATGCTGATGATGCTGATGCTACTGCTGATGATGATGATGCTGGTAATAATGGTTATGATGCTGAGTATGATGCTGCTGCTGATGATGCTGATGATGCTGATGATGAGGATGAGGAGGAAGCTGCGGATGAGGCGGCGGAGGAGGAGGACGAGAATGAGGAGGAGGAGATGCGGAGGAGGAACAGGAGGAGGTGGACGAGGAGGAGTCGGAGGAGGAGGAGGAGGAGGCGAAGGGGGAGGGGGAGGATGACGAGGAGCAGCAGCATGATTAGAAGGAGGAGGGGAAGGAGGAGGACGAGGAGGATGAGGGGTAGGAGGAGGAGCAGGAGGAAGAAGAGCAGGAGCAGACGGAGGATGAGAAGGAGGAGGAGGAGGAGGAGGCGGAGGAGGATGATGAGGTGGAGGAGCAGCAGGCGGAGGAGGACGAGGAGGAGGGGGAGGAGCATGAGCATGAGCATACGGATGATGCTGATGATGTTGATGCTGATGATGCTGCTGATGATATTAATGATGATGCTGTTGCTGCTGATACTGATGATGATGCGGATGACGATGGTGGTGATGTTGCTTATGCTGATGCTGATGAGGATGCTGCTGATTCTGATGACGATGATGATGCTGCTGATGAATCGGATGGTGTTGCTGCTGCTGCGGCTGATGACTATGCCGATGCTGATGATGTTGAGGATGCTAATGCTGGCCAGTAGGATGTTGCTGATGCGGATGCCGATGATGATGACGATGCTGAGGACGATGCTGATGCTGATGATGTTGGTGATGCTGTTGATGCTGATGCGGATGCTGCTGATACTGATGCTGACTGATGATGGTGATGCTGATGCTGATGCTGGTGGTGATGATGATGCTGATGGTGATGATGCTGATGATGATGATGATGCTGATGCTGATGATGCTGATGGTGGTGATGATGATGATGATGATGATGATGCTGATGATGATGATGATGATGCTGAT